ATGAAACAATTATGTATATCTGTTCTGATTGATAATGGAACATTTTCTTAACAATTTCTTTATTGAATCGTTTACAAATTTAGAAATACTTGTAATCTAACTGTAGACTATCATATAAAGTAATCTTTCATATCATTCCTGCTCATGCTATTTCCTTGGTTCTGCATATGTGTGTTTGTTTTCATGCTTAGTCTACAGAGCATCTTGCATTGAAGTTCTTTATTTGAAAAGCAAGACATAATTCACATATGCTCAGATCATTTGCCCAGCATAACCTTTTTCTTAAAAGCTTAGAAAATGTTGAAATTTTTGTTCTGAAATTACAGAAGCTTGTGAATTCCTTAAATTACTACATTGTTTCCCTATGCTTTGAACTCAACCAGTGGCATATAATAAGGTGTGAATGTTATCTGTGGTTATATCACTTGTGAAGAAATGTTTATTGTGTTTCATGTAAGCTGTCATTATATGCATGTTTCCTTTTCTCTGCACTGCATTTGCAAATTTGTCATAATGTTAACTGCATATTTATTGTTAGACACTTCTTGTTGCTGGAGATATTCCAGTAAACATGTAGATAGAATCCCTTTCCAGTAGGACCAGACAGATAAGAAAGTGCTTAAAGAGCAACAAATGCTGGTGAAGTTGTGGAGAAACTGGAGCCCTTATTTACAGTTGGTGGGAGTGTAAAATGGTGCAACCACTGTGGAAGGTGGTATGGCGCTTTCTCAAAAAGTTGCAAATAGAGATACCATTTGACCCAGTAATTCCACTACTGGGAATATATTCCAAAGAGACCATAACTGACATCCAAGCAGATATATGCATACCCATGTTTATCGCAGCTCTGTTCACAGTAGCAAAGAGTTGGAAACAACCCAGGTGCCCACCAAAAAACGAATGGATAGAGAAGCTGTGGTATATTCACACAAAGGAATACTACGCTTCATTGAAAAACAAGGAACTCATGCAATATTATTCAAAATGGGTGAGCCTGGAGGACATTATGCTGAGTGAAATATCTCAGTCGCAAAAGGACAATATTACATGACCACTGTTGTAAAATGGGACTGATATATGGTTGGGGTAAGACTGAGAAAAACTGGATAAATTGTGTATACTGCATTGAAACAGATGAGAGAGTGAATAATTTAAAAGCTATGTGTGATAGGGTATTATGGTTATCACAAGAGTGCACAATTAAGGTTGCATAGTGGAATGTACTTGG